ACACTGCTCCACAATCCTCGAGGTGCATTTAGGTCTCAAGGATCTACTCTTGTGCAGGTAAACAGAGGAACGATTGATTTTGTGCTTTGAATTCCTTACTCACATCCCCTACTACATAGAACCATAGAGGAAAGGACATGACTATGCTGTTTTATCTGGACACTGGCTAGGCAGGAACTGGAAGAGGAGGGAGAGCTGGTAGGATCTTCCTCTGGAAGGAAGGGTGTACTTCACACACTGGTTCTGCTTTTTTGCCTTGCAGGAAAGGAAAAGCCTGAACAGGAACAGAGCTGACTGCATAAGACAGGCTATTGATAAGGGACTCTCTACTGGATAATTCTTCCTCATTTTATATGTTGCTGCTCCCCGTATTGGTAGGAAAGGCATGAAATTTCATCAGTTCAACAAACACTTCAGCTTACTATCATTTATAACTTCAAAATCCTTGCCTGGTACAATCTGTTCTCTCACAGAAGAGGAAGAACTCATCTCTTCAAACTTGGAGAAGAGATGGAAGGAAAGCTTCTTCTCTACTTGTTGCAAAAGAAAACAATTTTTACTCCTCTTTCCTCCTTGCTTAAAGGAGTGGTATTTGGATGGAGCGCTGTTGACACAGTAAATCAGCAAAAAAGTGCAACTACTCTACTGCAAAGTCAGAAGATTAATTTTTTTAGGGCAGCACAGAAACAAGTAAAATTGTGGACTCTATAGTCACTGGGCATGATCATGAGATATGATGACTGCTTGCCCATATTAACTAGACAGAACTGGGACTGCTGAATAGATCCTAAAGGGAGGCACACTTAAGACTACAGTTCTTATCCCAAACTACAGTATTTGCATAAAAGAAAAAGTGCCAATCAGCAAATAATTTTTACGGGAAATAGGTGGGAAATAGGCAAAGTGTTTAGATTGAAATCCTAGAAGAAAAGTAAACATCCTGGAATAGACAGAATTTGTTTTGTTTGTTCTTGAGCTCTGCACAGGAGTCTCAGACTTTCATCAATTCAGACATTACAGGTGAATCTCCTGTATGTAAGCACATGTGCTGACAAAATCCTCTCTTCTCCATTCTTAGCCCCCCTTCAGAAACCCAACCACTGGCTACATCTACACAACAACTTTGCCAGCCCTTCGTCTCCTCTCCCTGCCAGGGAAAAACCTTAAATTGCCTTGTGTTCACAAGGGTCTCAAAAGCTGGCTCCAGTTCCTGAGCTCTGGGCCTCCGGGAACACCGGGCTAGTACTCAGGAGCAGTGTCCTGGCATACCTCATTGCACGATGAGGAATTATGGAAATAGTCAGCATTCAAGCTCTTTACACAAGTTTCTCGTAATCGTGCTCTGATCATGTGAAAAGCAGTCAGATGCTTACTATCCTTCCACTTCTCATAGGAGTGAAAGTGCACGATTTCACTTTATGTTCTGCAGCGATACTGCAGACTTTAGTTTTTTTTCCTACAGGCTAACTGTTTTCAAATATTTTGTATACACTTGATCTCTTTTACAGCCTAAAAGACTCCACCAGTAGTTTACTGTGGAGACAGAGGGGAGGATAAAAAGATGGTCAACACAAAATACTGCTCACTTTCTTGACAGCCTTTGGTTTAGACACATACTGCTCAATCCTGCAGCTCAATCTCAATTGCTTAAAGGCAGACTCATGTAGATATACACTGCTAAAAGTGACCCATGAGTCAAAGGGCAGTTGCCCGAGCATACTTTGCTTTAGTATCCAGCGCTGCTAAGACAAGTAAACTAGAGGAGACCATCTCTAAAGATCTTCCATGGTGTCTGTGAAGTACACGGAACTTAAGTACATGGGCCCACTCAAACACTTTAAATAACTACTTAGTTTGCTGACAGGCAAACCCTTCCTCCTTTTCTTTAGGCATTACTACTACTACTTCACATCAGGGAGGTTCTTTTTTTACTTTATTTTTAAAAATTTTAATTAGAAAGTAATAGGTAAAGAATTTAATTATTTCACAACACAGGCTTTTCATAGACATGCAATTATGTTTCATTTCATGAGAATTTATCTTCACTGTGAAATCAATCGTCACAGTCTCCATTTACTACACATTACCAAGTCACATTTGATTTCTGTCAGAGAACTGTTGACTTCTGCAGTAAATCAAAATGACAGATAGTGTTAGTTTCCTTCTGCCTGTATCCCCAAGTCTCCTAACTCAAACTGGTCTTTCCTTCTATTCAGTGAAATGAGGATTTCCCTGGTAACTGTATTTCACAACTGGAAAGGTTTTCATAAATGGAAAAAATGCGGTGCATAATCCAGGAAACTATTGAAATGTACAGTATCAGAAACATATGGCTGTAGCAAATACCTATGCAGTGGGGGCCTGGGAATGAAAAAAAAAGAGAATAAGCTTATGAAAATTCTTTTCCTAAAAGGATTTTTGCTTGAATATTAAAATATTTTAATTGCACATTAAGAAAGTTTGCATAATCCATGAAAAAAATTTCTGAAGATTATGGAAAAAAGAGAGATATAGACTAGTCTCCCCTATAGACTTTCTGGGATGCTGGAGCAGATGATTTTGCCTTTGCTCTTCAATGATCAACATCTTAAATAGCAAAATGCTTCCATAACCAGAAGCCTCAGCAGGCAGATTCCAAAAGAGAAAGCTGATTTCTCTCTCATTACTCTCATTTCAAAGAAAAGCAGAAAATAATTACATGAACTTAGAAGGTAAAAATGATCATCCCCCCATATATTCAGAAACCAGAAAATAACACATTATCATAAAGTAAACAAGGACAAGAGTCTTTATATCAGCAGATCTCCACCATTTCCATGTTTCAGTTTCTCCAGTACTCTGGGATAGGAAGGGGGAACGCAGGCCTCAGCTGAGGGCTGGATCACTTTACATAAGCCCCAATATCCCTGCTACTGCAGACACAGCCTATGAATTTAAGAGGCAAGGGATAGCAAAACGATACTGAACTTGAGTTGCTCAGTTTATGCCAGAAGGAATAATGTTGAGAAATAACCAAAAAATCAGCTATTTCATAGTAACAGAGGAATAGCTGTTTGAATTAGAATTCAATAAAAATTTCTTCAATAACAGCAAGTTCTGCCTCCTTTTAAGCTAGGAAATTCTCCTCATAAACAGCCTCTCCCAAGGCAAAGTTATCTTGGCATCTTATCACTGTGCTGTCATGTCCTAGCATGCCGATATAGATGTAAGGATGTCTTTAGAGTAGCCTGCAGATGCTGGAGGACCTATTCACAGGTCAGATGGGCAGGGTTATTACAGATATGGCAAACATTTTAGAGATCTCACTTTGAAATCCTTTCTGTATAGTCTGCCCAAAGATCCAGTGAAAATGTAAATGTGCAGCTATACAACTTCCAAATAAATCCCAGACTTGTCAAGAGAAATGGATGCTTCTCTTGGATTTTCACAGCAGTTCAGTGATTAATATTTAAGCTGTAGAAAATATTCAAATTAATTAGCCAGATACAGGAGAAACAATGCACTAAAATTAGAAGATTTCTCATGGAAAGAACTTAGTATGTACAAACTGACATGGAGCCACCAGGAAAAAATTCTTTCTTGGCTGATCTATGCACAATGTTGAAACTATTCATGCACACCTATAGTAGAACAGTCAGAATTACATTAATCTTCAGCATCTGAAGATAAACATGTATGTTCTTTCAAAATAGAAGAAGTTTTTCAAAGCTTTTTCTGTGCTCCAGGAATGCAAGTGGTCAAGTGCTTGACATCTTATTCCCAGCAAGTATTTGTGATGCATACTTTCAAACTGCATCACCTGGCAGACAACGTTCATAGGTAGGTCAGCTGAACAGCCAGCAGATGTAGGCAAAGCCTTCACGGGACAAGGAGGTGAGAGCTAGACTCACATTCAGGCCTCATGCTTCTGGGATCAGCAGAAACTGTGAACAGCCCAGAAAGCCTGTAATTTGCTTTTGCTTTGCAGGAGGGAGGGAAATTCCTTGCTTCTGCAATGACTATTTCTGGCCAGTTCAGGAGCAGCAACAGCTGGCTTTGCAGGGAGCAACATCCAGCCCTCATCATCTTGAACAACATCTGAATGCATTGCCAAGCTTTGGTTATGGGAGGGGGAGCAGGAGCGAAGGGACTTAGCAGAAGAGAAAAAGAAAACAAGGACATCTACGAATGTCAGCACTACAAATAATTTTGCCCTTTTTTTTTTTTTTTTTGGGGGGGGGGGGGTGGGGGGGGGGGGTGTGTGAGGGGGAGACTTATAGAAATTTCACCTCATCTACTAAAATGCAATTCCACCAAGCCAGCTGCAAATACAACTCTTCCCTTTGATTAAAACAAAACCCACAGACACACACAGAAATGACTTGTATGACTTTAAACATTTTCATGTTTTCTTGACTTATTTGTGCATAGGAATCTGAACTTCCTGCATATGAGGAAGAGGCTTCCATGGAGTGCCCACACCACTTAGAGCAGAGGATGGTGTCTGAAAGGAAAAGCATGAGGCAAAACACTAGAAAGCAAAGATTCTAGTGAATTAGGGAAGCAGAGGAATCTCGTTTGCTCTTCATTCAGCTGCATTTAACCCAAACAAATAATAGAAATACTCCTAAGATTACAGGCAGCAAGATGTTCCACCGGAGAAAGTGGAAGCTTTTGTGATTTATACCAGTTGAATCTGGTCACAAGGTACAGAAGTCATGAATGTTTTGGTAAGCCTAGGAGAATGCCAAACAAAACAAAAATAGGATCAGGAGATGATTATTTCACCCATACAGAAGAACTGGATGACTAATCATGGAGCTGTTTCACCCTGTGAGTGGCTAGGAGAATGCCAGCTTTTTGTTCCATGATTACGCAACAGCACAGAAGCAGATGAACCAAGGGGGTCAAGACCTCTGTTCACCCGCATAGTGGAAATACCAGAACTGTACTCCCAGTTATTAAAATGCTCAGCCAGAAACACTTTCATAGAACTATCTGCAAATAGCACATTTTCTTACCTCTGTTCCGTGTTAAATAAGGCAAAGATATGTTTGCTAGACATGAAGCTCTTTTCAACATCCCGCACTTTCAAGTTGTCCAAAGGAAGCATATACTTCTTCTCTTTTTCCTACAGAAAACAGATTAAAACAACACTATGTAAGACATCTCAAAGAAACCTGACATCAGCACCTTCTATTGAGTTGATAATGTCTTCAGGACACTTATTACCACGAGGGAATAATCCTAATTGAAATGTCTGGTTATCCTATGCACACAGATCTGCAGCAGAAATGAAACCTAAATTCCAGTACTGTTTTTCACTGACCCAAACCAGATGATACCTAGTAAAAAAGTCTCATCTCCAGAATCCTTAGATTCTTGAGATAGCTACGTTTCTTCTTCTTCATTCCTCTGAACACCAAAAAGAAAAGGGTCAGATTTAACTAAAATAAAAGGATCCACAGTCAATGGAGAACTGTTCTATCACAACTGGAATAACTTGTGACACAAAATTCATCTCTAAGATTGTTATCATTAATTATTTAGGGTTGGCATCTGATGATCCCAGTGATAAATTTTCATTTCACCAATTAAAAATACAAAATCATATAAAACCAAGGTTTCAAATATACCATTTACATATATTATCATACACATGTAGATAAGCTTACACACATATGTACGGTAATACCTAAGCAAAACCAGACTCTAATCTGACCAACTCATCACCCAAATAGCAGGAATTACCAATTCACTCTTGCTTCTCTCAGCTCCTTTCTCATTTACTAATAATTTACAGTACAATCAGTGTAATTTTACCTCTTCTACAATATTTGCTTCCCATGACTCTAAACTAAGGTCTAGTAACGCACTCAAGCTACTTTATGATGTCAGAATAAAAAGCCTTAAAATCATTAGCTATTCTCATTGCATTAACCTTCCTCGAAGTCCTCTCACCGATGAATAACGCAAGGCAAAACTCTCCATTTTGCTCTGTTAATATGGCTTATGTACTTCTTATGTACTTAAGTAGAAGTGATCTCCTGAAGACAACAGGGGAAACACTTGCATCCTCATACCCCCATTTTAGTTTTCACACATCGTGCTAAAATTCCTGACAAGCGTACTAACATAGTACAGAGTTTAACAACATTCAAAGGTTGCTAAGGTACTGTTAAGGCTTGTATCGTTACCATGGCAGTAATGGAGTTGGGAGAAGACTTATGGCCTAGAATTTGTGCAGCAGATACCAAATATACCTTGAGAATTTCATGAATTTGGCTACCCAACAACCCTATGGAAGTTGAATAAAGTCACCAAAGGTGGAAAGCTTAAAATTCCTTCACAGTCCCTTTTCTCCCAACATGAAGCAGACTGACTGTCCTCCCTCTAGCCATCATCAGCACTAGCTGTGAAGTCCCGCACGGGTTGCACTTGTCAAGGAATTATGTACACAGACATTACTTATGTGGGGTGGCTTAAGTAAGAAATCCACATGCAATAACATAAAACAGAGCAAAAGGGCCAAACCCAATTAGGACTCATTTTTCTCAGTACATATTTCCCAGACATTTCCAAAAGAAATGCACAAAGTATCTTCTGTTGGGAAGAACTGGAAGAAGCTCTAGCTAGACTTTGAGATACGAGTACTATGAGTGCAGATGCAATTCAGCTTGGCTCAGCTTCAGACAATTACAAAACTAAACTGGATGAGAATACACATAAGACTGAAACTATAAAAATATTACAGTGACGTGTCCAGCGACGTCTCGCTTTCCTAGACAGCTTTATAACAGGCCTCAGTAGAAGGAAAAGCATATTTTAAAGGCTCTTGTAGAAAAGCTCAGTTGTCCATCTGTTTATCAAAACAGGTCACATCACAGTCAGTAGACCTGTTTCAATACTATAAACTTGAGTCCTCAACAGTACCAGTAGCATTTAAAAGGAAACAATGTGTTTGTTCTGCTGCCATGCCTAAGTGACATACGCTTGAAAAAAACTTCATAGCATGTAAGTTCAGGGGAACGTGTATTAATCTTTGTATTAAAAGCAAATCAGATTTTTGAGTTGAAAGCTGGACTATAAGGTAACATAAGATACTTTGTTTTATGTTTCAAGCATTTAAGACAGGTTATAACTTAAATCTTTTTGGCAGAAATATTGATAAGTTATTAATTTTTTCCATCGCTATTAAGAAAAAAATAGATAAGCTTAATTTCTATTCTTTAAATATTACCTTTCACTATCACAAAAATCTGTTTATAATCATTTATTTACTCTATTACCACAAATATAAGAACCGATGACAGACAGTATTTACTAACAAACCAAGCAAAGACAGAAGTGTAAAAACAGAACCAGTGAAAAAAATATACCAAGAATCTGATTGTCTAAACAAATATTCTGGAAGCAAGAAAGTTTTATGAATGTTTGATGCCAAACTGTGTGAAAGTGTTTCTTCTGTAGCCACCAGGAAAAAGGAAATGCCTACTGAAGGCTAAGATGTGGTTGGTATTTATTTATATGGCCTCTACCCACACACTGAGACAGAGCACAGTTTCCAAGAAAGGGAAATCATAGGGTACCTACACTTGAAAGTATAACAGAGACAGCATGTCGCATAAGAGCGATCAGACCTACACGCTGCTTAGCTCCGGGAGAAAGGTATTATACACCCTCTGCAACACTCAGGTGTGGCAGCAAAATCAAGAGCAACATTTTCTTTTAACAGAGAGAAAAAAATATATATAAACACAGCATGTACTAATATATCATCTGAACAGGAGATGAACCCAACATCATTTCAGCCTTAGCTCAATTAATATTATGTTATAGCAAGCCAAAAAAAACCTCCAGCCACGACTGTATCTGTGCGTGTTTCCCATCCTCAGAGGCTGGCGGCATAAGAAACAGAGAATGTATGCAGCCTGGGAGGAATGGGGCTAGGCACACTTCTACAAGTGACGACATGCACATAACTGTGGGTCCAGTTTGTCCCCCTCAGCATTTGTTCTTTTTTATTTATAGATTTTTATTTTTGTAACGGGGCAGAGAGCTTAAGCAAGACACGAGGGGAAAAACCAGCACATGCCGATCTCATGTAGAGACTTTGCCTCTCTTTTTTTTTTTTTTCCTCTGTACACTGTAGAGGAGCTGAAGGAAAAAGTGAGAGGAAGCATGGCCCAGTCCTGTCTCTTCAACATGAAAAAAATCCCCATAATGCACGTTAGAAAAACAAACCAACCTGCTAGCCTGGGAAGGCCTTCCGACCCTTGAGACGGTGTTTCACCACTCGTGGGCATAAGTAGCACTCACATCCTTAATGGGCTTAGTTCTCTCCTGTGTTCTCTGACAGGCGAATGAGCTGCCAGGAACTGACAGCATGATGTAAATATGCCATATTACAACTGCCTCTTCCTTCTGCAATGTTTAAATGTACTAAAAATAAATACTGCTGAAGTCCAAAGTGGCACAGGGATTGAACAAAAATACAAAAGCAACTCCCCTCCCCTAGAAAGGTCTCAGCCAGTACTTACTTCAAATCTCATGAATTTGATCTCATTTTCAGCCAGAGGCAGGAGTAATTTAAATCTAGGTTTTCTCCCTCTGCTTTTGGAACTTTGTAGGCTCCCTGGGAACAGCAGAAGAAGAAACCTTGGACCTGACTTCAGCTAACTGGATTATAGGCGTAATATAATTATTCCAAAGGCTTCGCTTCAAAGAAAAGAGATTGTTAAATTACTTTGTCTTCTTTCCAGTCATCAAAGACAATTCTCATTTTTGGTTTTCACTTCAAGACGGCTACTACACAGCAGCAGCATCCAGGACAAGCTCTGCTCTGTTTTATATCTTGAGGAATGAAAATTCAGGCAGGGCCTTCTGTTAATGCAAATGTATGATCCTCAGATTCTGAAAGGTGGATTTGAGGCTGCGCATTGGACTAATAGCACTTTCAATTAAATCACTGGGATTCAGGCCAGTATGCTGAACATTTTTTAATGTCTTTTAGAACACCAGTTTTCAATCTAAGGGCCAAGACACCAAGTAAAACCTAACTGTTTATGCTAATTCTGGGGACCACAAGTCCAAAGAAATCAGGCTCATAGCTGGAAGTGCAGGCCACACTTTTGACTCTCTGGGAAAAAAAAGTTCGACAAAGGCTGTTTTACAGCAGCATTTGTTCTGCACTCTGTTTATACTGAAAGCAGAACTCTCAAGAAAAATCATTGCACACTGATAGCAAATATAGGTATCCATGAAACACCTCTGTTAAAGGTTTGGCAAAAAGAGCCAACTACTTAAAATGAAAAACTGAAGAAGGGCAGCTTTGAATTAAAGCTTGGGAGCATCAGACAAAGAGGTTGGTGTTTCTGCCTCTGAACTAGATTTCTAGACTGACACTGTACTACTTTGTGTTTATTTCCACATCAGAAACTTTGCCTAATACTTACCTATCTCACAGGTATACTGCTAGACCTTGGTTTTGTGGAGCAGCTGGGCCATGGGAGGGCGTGATTAAGGTATCCTGCAATCAGGGTGCTAAAAACGTGTAGGGGGAACATCAAAGCCAAGCAACTACTTTACAAAGCTGTTAAGAATCAGAGGCAGACAATACCAGCAACATGGAGATATTACATAGTACTGTACTCTTTTCGATCCCTGGATCATTACCCCATTTTACAGACGAGAAGAGAGACAAGAAGCAGTGACTTGTGAACCTGCTGAGCCAGTGATCTATGTTAAAGAAGGAAGAGAAAGGAAACCGAAAGAGTAAGGGAAACGCTGATGGTGTGCTGCAAATGTGCCTGTTTACCCCTGAAAAGCAAAGCCTTAGACTTGTTTACATCTAGAAGCTGCTGTCACTGTCACTGTGGAATAGCCTGCTCTATGGCCTCTGATAAAAGTGCAAACTATTATAATGTCTCACAGCAGCTTTTATAGCATTCAAATCAATATCCAAGAGTTAACTACAATCTAATTTTAAATATACCCATGAGAATTTTACTGTGTTTCTATTTCAGTTTATTTTTCTCTCTCCATTTAGAAAGCCACACAGCATCTTCACAATGGTCTTTGCTTTACCACACTTGGCTTTGCAACATACTCCGAAAAATGAAGCATAAAATT